TACACTTCCAGGAGGCGAAAGTTTGAATCTACCCGGTACAGCTGAAGATAATATTTTCCAAACGTTGACTGTAACTTTGATTTTAGCCGAATCAAAGGAGAAGAAAGGCTTGATTGTTCACTTGGATTGATCCGATCTACTTCTGAATCTCAACTCTCTGAATTTAAATTTGCTCCCAATTTAAGAGAATATGGCTTTGACAATTTATCGAATGAAGAAGGGCTTTATTGTGAAAAAGAATATATCGAAGTAGCAAAGAGAATATATACAACCTCAGTTCAAATAAGTGAAATAGAAGAATTTAAACCAGAGATGGAGATTACACGGTTTTAGTTGTGTAGGACGATTAGTAGATTTTTTAAATTATGAATGTCTCAATATTTTCAAAGTCAACCAGGAAATGTTTAAGAATAAAATTTGTTAATCGCTGGAATCGAATCTTTGAACTCGTTTTCCCTTAACAGAAAGTAAACAAAACGAAAAAGGAAAAAAATAATTTACAATCTAATTTTCAGGGGAAGGGGTACTTCCCTCTTAACCATACCCTTTAAAAATCATAAAACGTTGGATATTCTTCGTATTAACTTTTGAAAATTAAATGATATGCACTTAAAGTCAAATAAATCATTGAAAATTAATGTAATTCTTAAAACATTAATTTTGATGGAGAGCATGCTCTTGCGTATCGAATTGAACGGAAGTCAGACTTGGAACATGCAGATTAAATCATTACTCGAAATAGTACAAGGAACACTCGATATTTGTTGTATTTGAACTTTGTTTCACATTGGAGAGGGCTTCAACGATTTTATTGTAAAACGTTTTAACAATAACCTGTTTGACAATATATAGACAAAATATGAAAAAGGGGATTTTTTGCATAAGTAATACATTGAAGATTAACTGAAGCCTGATTAACAACTGCAAGTATGTCATATAATTTAATCGTTAGTTAGCCTTTTTACTTTATAGTCAATTAACATTTAGATATGAAAGAAATGTTGCAAACTTTCTGGTGTCTTTTTATCTATTATTTAAATTATATTTAAAAGTGACTGCTGGTATTTGTAATCTGTGTGATTGAAGAGAAAAACAGACATATGAGAAATATTTATATATCATTAAAGTAAGCATGATATCTAAAATCTGTATACAGGAAAATTTTTAGCCCCGTTTTATTTTCGCCCCTTACGCCCTACGCTGATATGGGTGAATTAAAAACGGAACAAACTCAAAGAATATAGTATAATTTCTTTAGCAAAACCATGACTGTGTGAATTAAAACGGGTAAAATCGTTTGTAAGTGTAAAGGTGCGAAAGTAGCACGAGGCGAAATTATCCTTGTTTACAGTTATTGTTCATATGCCTCACCTATGCATAAAATTTTCTCTTTTGTTGTTCTAAATGTTGAAATGTGGAAATCACTTGTCATGTGAGTTTCTGATAACCATGATTTTAAATTAAAACCCTTGCCAAATATAAGACAATTTGAGTAGTGGAATGTTTGTTTCAAATTCCTTTTAAAAAGTGCTGAAAATGGAATATGGAGATAAAGAACAGTATTAAGACTCAAAAGTCCATTCAAACAATACAAATCGTGAACAGAGCAAGCACGGACTTAAAAAATATCAGAGGTAGTATCAGATGTCATGTAGGAGCGAGTATCGCCTGCCAAATGTGCTCTCCCGCTGGGAGCCCCTGGTCATGATTGGAAGAAACCCGCAGACAACAATTCATTGTGAAATATAGCTGCCTAATAATTAGTATGCTAAAGTTCTGCATTTTAATAAATGACTCTTGTTGACAAGATCTTGTATCGACCATAGCACTTGCAAAGTTATGACTTTAACGAGACTGTTGATATTCCTGTTTCCTCAATTACAAGTATTCCACTTGAGGACTTTGATACAGCTCTCCACCAACAAGTGGTGGTATCTTCATATGAGTGGACAATCTCGAGAGGGACGTTAAAGAACAATTAATCAATCTGACATCAGAACATCCAAAATATTCAAGTTTTTATGAATTAATATCTTATTTTTTGGTCGTGAATAAACACAGACACAATGTTGTCTGTAGTCTAAATGTATTTCTCGGCGTTTCTGACGTAGAAATATATAAATATATTTTAAATGAGTATTGTTACTTTTTAGAGGTATTTATTATTTAATTTGTTTTGATAATTTTTGTCAGTCTAAACTCATTAAATTGTTTGGTTGTGTTATATTAAAATTATGTTTTATATCACACATGTATATTGTTTGCATCTTAGTCATTACTGAAAACAAGCAATTGTTGATAAAATGCTAATGAATAAATTTTTAGATGAGAAATTGTTAAGGAAGTAACTTTTGAAAATACAAAAATAAATCAAACTCAGATTTAAAGCCTCATTTAATATTTCAGATGAAATTTCCCGGAGATTTAAAGTCACTTCATAATATGCTTCGACAAAAATGAAGTTTATCTCCAAAGTTATCTTGTTTGGGATAATTGTGCGTACACAATCAGGCTTATCCATCCAAGGAAAATGCCTCATGTAAGTTTTTTTTTCTTGTCGTCGTGCATTCCTGTGTATCTTTCAAACCATTGCATTAGGTGTCAGGTCATTTCTCTCTAAATTTTTTCTCTCCCAGGTTATTTCTCTCTCCTACCATTTCACGGTAGGTCATTTCACGGTAGGTCATTTCTCCCTCCTACCTGGGTCATTTCACCCCATTTTTAATCTGGTCTTATATATTATTAAGGTCTTCCGTCTTCAGCGGAAGACCTTATTGTTTTTCTTAGGTTTCTTTTCCACTATTTTTCTTCTTATTATTTTTTTCTTACCGATTTTGTGCACGCGAGTTCTCGGAAACGGCTAGATGGATTTTCATGAAACTTTCAGGTCTGATAGAACATCAAAAAATCTAGAAATAATTTTTTTATTTTGATGACGTCACTTCCGGTTCGTAGATTTTCGCGATTTTGTCATTTTTAGAGGGTCTTTTTGTCCGGCGATGTTCTCAAAAACCGTTGAAGATAGACGTATGAAATTTTCAGTGATGATAGAGCAACCTTTGGAGAAGTGAATTGAGTATATCATTGTCACCGGAAGTACGAAACGCCGACTCTCGCTATGGTCCGAAAATAGTCCTATCACGCATTTCAAAAATTCTGACACATTTTCAACGATAACTTTTTACCTAGGAATATTTCGTTAAGACATGTTAAACAAAAAAGGTGTAAAATTAAAAGATCTTTTAAATGATATCTCGAAAAAAGGGCTGGCCCCTAAAGTTAAGGGCCTAGAGGGGCTGAAAGTTTTTTCTTTATATCTCAAAAAGTATTGAGAATTTGTAATACGTCAAAGAAGCAAAGTTGTTTGAAATGTCAAGGTCAATCTATTGGGGTCATCAAAATACATCCGGCGTCGTCACTTCCGGCCAAACCGGAAGTAGTCGGAAAACACGTATTTTTGCCGTTCCTCACAAGTTTTTGTGTAACATATGTCTCTGGGAGCATAAAAATTAATTTTCCGTCCGTCGTCATCACTTCCGGTCAAACCGGAAGTAGCAAAAAATGGCTTATTTTTGCATTTATTAACATAGCTTTAGAGGATTCAAACCATTTTAGGCGTTATTTTTTTATTTTTGTTAAAAATGAAAGCTACTTCCGGTCAAACAGGACGGAAGACCTACTCGTTGCTTTGCAACGAGCTTTGCTCTAGTTTACATTTACATTTCTTGTGTTATTAACTTTTGTCTCGTAAAATAAATTAATTTTATCAATTTATGACCTATAAAATTCGAACGAGAGAATATGTCGGAATTTTATTTACAGGGAAAATTTAATATTTGATATTAATGAAAATAAATTGATACCATTGTCCAGCCCTTGCTACGTTGAGGTCTCCTCTGTTAAGGGTAATAATTTTGAAAGAAAAATTTAATCTCAATTAAAATAAATTAATTTGTTAAAATAATTAATTTTTACCATAGCCGATGATGAAGTTTTGTATATAATCTGAATATTATATAGATACTGATCAAACTCGAATCTTAGAAAAATAATACAAAAAAAATTGCTTTTATTGATTGATTTTGTTTAGGGATACAAAAACGTTGGAATAAAAAATAAAACAGTTTTAAATTATAATAATATGTAAATTTTGATCTTAGGAGGAAAAAAAGGGAGAAAATAGACATGACATAAAATAATAGCTGCAGAACTGTAGCTCTCCGAAAAGAAATATATTATATTGACAGACCGGTTCAATACATTTTCTTTTTGGAAAACTACAGTTCTGCAGCTAAAAAATAGATAAGTTTTAGAAAACAAACACTGAAAGAAAAACCTAGTCAATTTAGCTAGTGTGCCTCGGTAAGCGTTTGTCATGATTAGTAATCTTTCAGTTTACTGGCTAAGATAGTGAGTTTTGAAGCGGGGGTCGTATAGATACTTACATACATAGTGAAAGTTACTTATCAATTCTAGATTTACTAATCTCTTCTAGTAAATATACCCAATACCTAGTAAAACTGCTTTTAAGGTAGTGATTGTATGGACAATAAATTTACTAGTCTCCTTAGTGATTTTAACTAGCTATTTTTTTTTTAACAGTGAAGGATACTTCAAAATATATATTATGAAACCAGATACACAAGTAAAAGTTTGTAAATATTTAACACTATTTATTTTGAATAATTGTATATTATAAAACTATAAATAATAAGAACGCGAAGAAAATAATGACGTAATGAGTTTGTGTATTCAATGTAATAAAAAGTGGGAACAACAAATTCTGATTTATATAATAATCTGGCTGAACACATCTTTGTACAAGTTGGCAATTTTTAGACTAAAGACTAAAGGAGATATTGTTTTGTCAGTCTGTGAAATCGACAATTTACGGATAAACATATGCACCCAGCATGATGATAAAAAAAAACACCTTGTAGGGTACCATAAAACCGCAAGACAGCAATTACAAATTCTAACATTTATTTATTTATTCCTGATGAAGATCATAAACGACGGATGACAGGACAATAAACAAATTCACTTGAGGTCTAATTGATAATGAATTTAATTGTTAAAGAAAGAATATGAAAATAAAATATTTATATTATCGCATTTAAAGTTATTCTATATTCCATTATAGCTGCAGAACTGTAGCTCTCCGATTTTTTTTTTTTTTTTGACAGACCGCACTGTCAATACATATTTTTCAGAGAGATACAGTTCTGCAGCTAATTCCATTTGAAAGAAAGACAGTAAGTCTTAGAATTAATGAATAAAAATAAATAATCATGTGCCTCTGTCCTTTTGAAAAGCTAGCTCAAGATTGTAAAAATTGATTAATTAATACAAAAAATTAATAAATAAAGGAATGAATTAGATTATAAAAGAATTCTAGAAAAAAATAATTATTCAAATAAATGAGAGAATGCATAATGTTTAAATTATGAATAAAATAAACATTAAATGTGTGAAGTCATGAATAAATAAAAAATACATGTGTCAATTAATAAATAAATAAATAAGATGAAATAAAATAAATAAAGTTAGCGTTAAATTCAGCGTGGTAATTAATAAAACTTAATAAAATTAAACTTATCACGCTATAATTTTTGTGTTGGAGTGAAATGACCTAGGTTGTGGAGAGAAATGACCTGGGTAATGTAGGGAAATGACCCAGGAGAGAGATGACCTGGGCGGAAATGACCTAGGCGGAGCAGGTACTGGGGAGAAATGACCCGGATTCATTGCATTATATTAAAAAAAGTATTCAGTTTTTAAGGAAAATAACCAAGAGTAATAAAACTCAAAAGATGAATTGTGAAAAGAGCAAACACACCAAAGCCTGTAAATAAAGCAGAAATAAGATTAAGTGCCTAAGCGAACAATAAATTCCCTATCGACCAGGCATACTAGACGTGGTTGAAAAAATCATGTACTTTGTTTATATTTTCGTTAAATATTCGTTCCATTCTTGATAATTAGACAATCATCTCAAATACATTTTGAATGCATCTATGAGAATATTGAGTAAGTGCCCTTAAAATACTATACCTTTCTTTTCAAATGCGTTACATCAAACATATGAAAGCACTTTGAAAATCAACGTGCAGGGCTTGGTCTAGAGCATTTTATGTATGATAAATCATTATTTAAATCTGGTTGGATAGATTTTCGATGATGAAATCACTTTAGAAACTGAGGTATTATAAAAATTTGCAAGAATTTCAGGGTTTCTTTGTTCTAAATGTTCTCTTGAATGTTTTCAAAGAAAAAATGATTTTCATGGCATAATGGAGAATTGATTTTTTTAAATGTAGCACTCTTTTTCTATTGAATAAGTTCGGAAGATGTAGGGGTCGAAAAGCAACTATGATTTTCAATTAGGATTTTTTCATACCATGAAAATTTTCTTTCTCTAATACATGTATATCCATCTATCACATTCATCAATCTATCTACATGTATTCTGAACATTATATGAAACAATTGATGACTGATTTAATTGATAGTTAGAAAATAAACCTTAGCAACATTACTCACACGACTGAAGTTAACAGTTATTTGATTTGACTGAGATATTAAAAAATATTTTTGAATTTTGAATTTTATACATTTTTTTTATTTGTGTTCTATCTAATTTTGAATAAATACCTCGACCAAAGTAAAGTCATTTGACTATTATTGTTTAGATCAGTGATATGACCCTTTGCGTCTCTATATTTACATAAAATTAATGCGATATTTTTTTTTCGATAAAGCTTATCTCATTTTTCTTCATCTTTTCACGTTAAGGAAGGATTATTCTCAGGTTTCTGAGTAGATGAAATATTTAATGTATATTTGCTTATACGTCTTATAAACTTAGATGAAAGAGATTCAAAAGACCATATTTTTCTTTCCTCATCTTAAATGTACAACTTTAAATAGAAATTGTAAATTGTCCTCGAATAATAATAATAATAACCTTTATTTATCCAGGATAACACAATTAGCATAAAGCTAGTTTTCATTGTGGTCCTGCATTAAAACATATTTACAAACACATAAGGATATACAAAATTAACATCTTAATATAAACACAAGATATAAAAATACAACACATACATATATAAACATGAAGAAGCATATCTTTTGTACACTAAGACATTGAGGAAAAAAAATCCATTTTAAGGTCAAGATCTAGTAAATGAAAGGTGCCTACAGATTTATCAAACTTGAGAAATAAATTCCTTTATTGATGCTTTACAACTTTAGCTTGGTTAAATAAGGTGTTTCGGGGCATAATTTGTAGGTTAATAAGATGAAAAACTGTATTTTAAACTGTCATTTTCAATGAAAAATTAATAAAACCAGTCATGAATATGGGAGTTTTTCTCATATTCGACAAAGGAAATGTATTCAGATTGCCTACAGTCTCTCAGAAAACGGTATTTAGTATGTTCATGGCCTCTTCTTTAAATTAATATCAAATTTAATATAGGTATCCGGTTTACTTTTCATATGATTTCAAACTGAATGTCATGAAAATACCCTATT